CCGTGTTCTTCTTCCAGGTGAGGCCTGATGGCACGTATGTGAAACCCCTGAGTAACAAGCTGACTTACGGGACCATGGTGTTTGTCAGGTCCTTCCTTGTGGGAGAAGCCGCTCGGTCTTTGTCTAAAGCCTGCACCATTGCCATCCGATATAGTGCTGTGAGGCGCCAGTCTGAAATCAAGCCAGGGTAAGGGTGGGGTCTGAGATGGGCTCAGTACTGAAGACCTAGTTTTGACACCATTCATTTACCCGAATTCCCTAATGTGGATAGAGAAGGTGCGTTGGCCATGCAGAATTAGATAGGTTGGCAGTGTACTGGCCTTGCACCTTAGTATCCATTCTTCTTTTTCTTAAGAGAAAAGATAAGAATAACTACTTTTTGTTTTTGAGACAGGGTCTTGTTCTGTCACCCAGGCTACAATGCAGTGGCATGATCATAGCTCACAGCAACCTCCAGCTCCTAGGCTGAAGTGATCCTCCTGCCTCAGCCTCCCAAGTAGCTGGGACTATAGGCGTTCACCACCATGCCCAGCTAATTTTTTTTTTTTTTTTGAGACAGAGTGTCACTCTGTTTCCCTGGCTAGAGTGCCGTGGCATTAGCCTAGCTCAATGCAGCCTCCAACTCCTGGGTTCAAGCAATCCTTGTGCCTCAGCCTCCCAAGTAGCTGGGACTACAGGCATGTGCCACCATGCCCGGCTAATTTTTCTATATATCTTTTAGTTGCCAATTAATTGTTTCTATTTTTTAGTAGAACATGGGTCTCGCTCTTTTCTCAGGCTGGTTTCGAACTTCTGACCTTGAGCAATCCTCTCACCTCAGCCTCCCAGAGTGCTAGTAAAAATTTTTTTTTTTTTTTTTTTGTAGAGATAGGATCTTGCTATGTTGCTGAGGCTGGTCTTAAACTCCCAGCCTCAAGGGATCCTCCCGCCTCAGCCTGCCGAAGTACTGGGATTACAGGTGTGAGCCACTGCACCCAGCTACCTTATTAACCTTTTAAGCAAAATAGTAATATTATTACTTGAGCTCTATAAATGAAATGTTCAACACACTAAAGGCAGTTTAAAATCTTAATTACTATATAATTCAGTATAATCTATCTGTTGAAATCAGCAAATTAAAAGATTTATAATGACTTATGGTAGAGTTCTTCTTCTGTCTGTTCACATGGCCACACGATTCTCTCTCTGATACTCTTTGTTGACTAACTTAACACAGTAAATCAATATGTGAAGGTGGTAGATTCCTATAAAGTACGTACATAAAACAATATTAACAATATGCATCACGCACACACGGCCAATGTTAACTATATAATAGTATTAGCCATCTAACTGGCTAACCATTTTTCCTCCTCTGTGATTAAAGACTTGTTTTATTTTTTATTTTTTTATTATTATTTTTCTTTTAAATGAGCCTTATGAATTTTTATTTTTAGAGACAGATCTCACTTTGGGCCCAATCTAGGTGAGTGTGGTCAGCTTAGTCACAGCAACCTCAAACTCCTGGCTCAACAATCCTCCTGCCTCAGCCTCCCGAGTAGCTGGGCGGACTACATCGCAGCGCCACCATGCCTATACTAATTTCTATGTATATATATTATTGGCAATTACTGCTTTCTATTATAAAAGATAAGTAGATGGACAGTGTCATCACTCTTGTCAGAGACTGTAAATCTTCTTCTCCCACAAGGAAGGACCTGACAAACACCATGGTCCCGTAAGTCAGCTTGTTACTCAGGGGTTTCACATACGTGCCATCAGGCCTCACCTGGAAGAAGAACACGGCATTGATGCTTTCTTCTGTTAAGCCCATGGCAGTTTAGTGGTTCTCAAAGTGTAATCCCTGGAATAGCAGCATCAGCATCACCTAGCAACTTCTCTGAAATACTAAATCATATTTCCGACCCTGACCTACTGAATCAGAAACTCTGTGGGGTGGGACCTAGCAATCTGGGTTTTGACAGGCCTCCCCATGACTCTAACACATGTTAAAGCTTGAGAACCACTGGTTTAGCACACCAGGGTATGTTCTCACCCCAACTGCTTCAATTTCACTATCATAATAAAAGAAGCCTCAGAAGTAAAAATATGTTATACTTTCTAAAAGAACAGACCCTGCTAGCCCTGTTGTTACCAACAGCCACTACAAGCCCCGTTTGATGCTTCTGCTCTATTTTCTGTCTAAATATACCTGGGCATACTTCATCAGCATGTTTTCTCTGGGAATACGGTAGTTGTCCATCTTGAGGTAGCCATTATCCATCTCATCATAACCAAATTTGGGGCCGATGTCTCCGACAGTAATACCTACCACAGATGAAAGGAAAGTCACAAGATGTTTATGCTCTGGAATTCTTGGCCTTCCCTCCTGTCCTTCAGTTGTGCATTCCACTTTTCATAGAAGAAAGTGTTCAGGTTAATTTTCATCTCGACATCAGATGAACAAATCTTACCTGGCAAAGGCTTATGGGTTCCCATTTCACGAATAGGTACAATGAAGGCATGTAATCCATAGCATTTCCCCTTCGTGATGAGTTGGGCAAGAACTATTGCATGATTTGAAGTCTTTCCAACTGTAACATCAAAGAGAATGGGAAAGAGAAGTGAGCAAATGTTCTTATATTTTCAAAGGGTAGAAACAGAAGAGGGGAAAATGTATATGTTAAATATAACACTAGACCATATCAATAAATTGTGTCCAGAAAGCCTTTCTGCTGATAGTATTACACCTAACTTTCACAAAGTTCACTTAAGCTGACAGTAACTAAAATTTACTAAATTTTGGCAAAGCAATTTTTGTTTAAGGAAAGATCACTTTACTTTCTTTTACTTATTTCTCATGTATTTACATAAACAAAACCATAATTTTTTACAGTAATCATAATACAGTTATTCTAAAATTTTCTTTATGTAACTCCATCTGAAATACATATCCCAAGACAATAACTCAGAATGGAAAAAGATAAAAATGTCATAAAGCTATTTATTTAATAAAGTAAGAATTTGAGGCTGAGCCCGGTGGCTCACGCCTGTAATCCTAGCACTCTGGGAGGCCGAGGCGGGTGGATTGCTCGAGGTCAGGAGTTCAAAACCAGCCTGAGCAAGCGCGAGACCTGTCTCTATTATAAATAGAAAAAAAATTAATTGGCCAATTAATATATATAGAAAAAATTAGCTGGGCATGGTGGTGTATGCCTGTAGTCCCAGCTACTCGGGAGGCTGAGGCAGTAGGATTGCTTGAGCCCAGGAGTTTGAGGTTGCTGTGAGCTAGGCTGACACCACGGCACTCACTCTAGCCTGGGCAACAAAGCGAGACTCTGTCTCAAAAAAAAAAAAATAAAATAAAAGAATTTGAGAGCCGAGCATGGTGGCTCATGCATATAATCCTAGCACTTTGGGAGGCCAAGGCAGGAGGATCATTTGACGCCAGGGCAGGAGTTCAAGATCAGCTTGAGCAACAGAACAAGACCCTGTCTCAAAAAACAAAACAAAACAAAACAAACAACTCAAACGCTGCTTAACAATATGAAAATGACTACTCAAACAGGGAATACTAAGTTATTTTAAATGGTGACTATGGAAACCATGGTAATACATGGGAATGAAAAGCAGAGTAAGGATAGCTGTCACTTTTGTGCTCTGTAAAATGTATAAACATACATAACATGAACCACAGGAAAATGTGAAGTACCTTAAAATGGTTTTAAGAGTTAAAGGTTTTTTTCTATATTTCAAAATGATATTCTCATATAAGTTCTAAGTTCTGAACAAAACCTCATAATAAATCTTCAAAACATCTCATAAATGCTGAAAAATTCACTTACGCCCACCAGGCCACCACTTAATAGAAGTCACAGTAGGACTGTTGAGAATAAATTCTTGGGCTTCAGGGTCATAGGTAGCTGTGGTTTCCAAGCCTCGAAGATGAGTTCCTTCAGAGATAAATTACATTTATTTCAGATAAAATATGGGGAAAAAATAAGACACAAGGTTAATATTTCCTGCCCAGTCCTTTAAGCTCTAGTGTCTCAGAGAAAAAACAAAATCTAACAACAAAACATTTGTAGATGAGCTACAAATGGTTGATAATCAAGATACTTAATTTCCTATACTGTCAGTTTCCCATTAAGCTGAAAATATAAGCATCATGCCTGTCCTGTTTCTCTATTTCATTTAGAGGATTCTAATATTTATTTAGATCAACCAAAAGAAAATGTAAAAGCAGTTTAGAATCATATTTTTATCAGATCACAATATATGAATTAACAGGGAACTTAACTGTCCTTTTAAACCCATCTCTAAGTTGCAAGTATGCCAATTTCAACTCTCATGTATTGTGTTTATCACATCAATTCAACATTCTAGAATTCTGCACTACTGAGAAGAATAAGATAACATGATAGGAAGATACTTCAGCTGAAGTTCTTGTAAATTGAGAATTTCTTTCAGAATGATCATTAGAATGGAAAAATAAAAGCTATTTTATAAAAAGTGTAACTATTATGGGGGAAAAGATCTAGAAAGTGACTTTTTAAAATTACTAAAAGTCCAAAAAGGTCCGAGTTCACCCTATAGATTTCCAATACCAGGCCTTCACTTAGCCCTAGCTGGTTCTTTAGTGTGACAAGCAAGGGTTTCCAGCTGCATATATTACTGGAGAGGGACAGGATTTGTGTCCTAAATTCTAGTACAAATATGCCAAAGTTCTTTGAAAAGAGTTATAGAAAATGCTCTGGGTGGCAAACTCTATAATAATACTGAAGCAAATGAGAACCTTTTACCAAACTGCTTTGATAACACTAACCTCTTAAAAACTAAAAACTCTGTGAAACATTAGAAACTTCCAGTTGATGACAGAAATGGCCAATTTATGTGTGATGTACAACCTCCATTGGAGAGGGAGTCAAGAAACCAGACACATAGACTCCTTTTACCAAAGCAGCAGCTTTTACAGAAAAAAAGATAACATATTAAACAGAACAGATAAGGACAAAATGTTTTCAAAAGCACAACTGAACCAAATAGTATTCCACTTTGAGTCTTGTGAAAATCCTGTAAAATACTACTCAGCACCCAATAAGAAAAAGCAGCTGTACAGACATAAGGAACAAATGGCAAATATACATCGAGCCAGTTTTTCTGAAACCTCCGAGCAAAGAAAGAGAAGCCAGAAGCAAACGAAGCAAACACAGATGCCAATGCAGAACAGGTGATAAAAGGAACAGCTGCCACCTCCAGTCCCATGTAGGCTCATGAAGAAAGGCAGTGGGGGATGGTAAGATAAACGAAAGGCAGTAGATACAGACTTGAAACCAACCGCCTATATTACTTGTCTTAACTTTTCTAATCTCTGGCCAAGCCACCTTCAGAACTTTACTAGATTTACTGAATTAAAGTACAAATAACTTCAAGGCACAAAATGTTGCACACTTTGGTTATAGTAAGATACTCATTTCCCTCAACCAAGACAAAGAGATGCATACTATTAATTTATATTTATATTTCCTCTGGAATTTGTAGAAGTTCCTTAAGGTATCATTAGTGATAGTAACAAAGAATACTAAATGCACAGATTCTATACAACTTCAGTAAAACTGAAAAACCACTTGGCAAATAAGGCCTGACTTGCAATTCTTGACCTATGAAAAAAAATAATCACATCACTATGATAACATAACCTTTAGTTTCCACTGACCAAAGCAATGTGTGTAAGCCAAAACCTGGACTCTGCAGAGAGAGCTCATTTAAACACATCACAGAGCGGTGACATGCCATTGCTAGCACACAGTGGGCACTCCATACATACTAAGCTCAAAGGGACCCACCCAACCCAGAAGGTAGACTGAACACAGCATACCATGACCCATCTCTGTCTGGGCATAAGTGCCAATGATCTCCAAGTTCCAGGCGGGCATGAAGAAGCGCTCTTGCTGCTCCTCAGTTGCCTGGTGAAGCAAGGTAGGCAGGAACATGCCCAAGTGGAGATCCAGAGGCTCAGGCCGCCCTCGGTGCACAAAGCTTCCAATACCAAGGATGGGCATTTGAGAGAAGAGTCATCGGGTGTGAGAGAATCAGCAATTTAAACAGATGGAGCAAGGGAAGGAGAAAAAAAACTTTCTGTAAGTATGAATTAGTTGCATGCACTTTATCATGATAGGAGCACCACCCCTTTCTGTATTACTTTTAACTCTGGACAATTTCCATTCTTCCTAAGGTGGCAAGATTTCCAATACCAGGCAAATCAGAGATTGGCTACTGATTCCAAAGCCTAAGCAGCAACCATGTGTGCAAGGCAGAGGATTCCAACCTAGCAATTAAATCAAAGGAAATAAATTTGAAAAGGTTGTACAGAATGGAGAATTAAGGGGTACAAGGATTTCCTCTGACAAGAAGGTGAGACATGAGAACACTGTAGTTCTCTCAAAGTGACAATATGATCCCCCAGACTAAAGCTTTTCCTAGATGCAATTTCAATAATGCTTCTAAGCCGGGCACGGCGGCTCACACCTGTAATCCTAGCACTCTGGGAGGCCGAAGCGTACAGACTGCTCAAGGTCAGGAGTTTGAAACCACCCTGAGCAAGGGTGAGACCCTGTCTCTACTGTAAATAGAAAGAAATTAATTGGCCAACTAATATATATAGAAAAAATTAGCCAGGCATGGTGGTGCATGCCTGTAGTCCCAGCTACTCGGGAGGCTGAGGCAGCAGGATTGCTTGAGCCCAGGAGTTTGAGGTTGCTGTGAGCTAGGCTGATGCCATGCCACTCTAGCCAGAGCAACAAAGTGAGACTCTGTCTCAAAAAAATAAAAAAATAAAAAAAATTAATGCTTCTAGGCTATGTTGTTTTGTCCACAAAACATCTAGCATAGGTCCACATTCCTCATATAACTCCAATAATTGTATTCAGATTCATGTCAAATATTCAGCTATGCTCTACTGAAATAATACAAAAATTGGCAGTGCTCTTCATCCCAATAATTTATTTCAGAAATTAAAAAAATGCAACTTCTAGGTAAGACCATAAGAATTACGAGTTACAGACTCATGCATAACAAGCTCTCTATTACAATTATATAGGAATTATCACTAATGATAATAAATACATTGGCTTTAGTTATTTTAAATCCACTTTTTTGGGTCATTCTTTTCCATTTAAAATCTGCAGGTGGCTGGGCATGGGTGGCTCACGCCTATAATTCTAGCACTCTGGGAGGCCGAGGTGGGCGGATCACTCAAGGTCAGGAGTTCGAAACCAGCCTGAGCAAGAGTGAGACCCCCATCTCTACTAAAAAGAAAAAGAAATTAATTGGCCAACTAAAAATATATAGAAAAAGTTAGCCAGGCATGGTGGCACATGCCTGTAGTCCTAGCTCTTTGGGAGGCTGAGGCAGAGGATTGCTTGAGCCCAGGAGTTTGAGGTTGCTAAGAGCTAGGCTGATGCCAAGGCACTCTAGCCCAGGCAACAGAGTGAGACACTGTCTCAAAAAAAAAAAAAAAAAAAAAATCTGCAGGTGCCTTAAACTTCTGTGTGGATTTATTTCTAAGGATAGGAAATACTTCTACATGCTTTTGTATTTTTCCATATTATTAGTATTTTTTTTTTAACTTCCAGCTCCAAATCAGTCAACTCTATTTGCTCTTATTATTCTATTTAGTTATCTTAGAAGTGAGCCTAAATAATGCTTCAGTTTTTAAATTTCTCAAACAGTTTGTTCCATCTAAGGTAAAGAGAAAAGTAACCAGGGCACAGGCAAGGGCTGATCAATGACTTCTTCCATTCAGGGGGCTGTGCTTGCAGCCAACCAATCACAAAAATCAAAGAATGTGTGACTTAATCTCTCATTTTACAGAGAAGAAATTAAGGCTGAGATGGATTAAGTGCCTTATTCAGGTAAAAAATAAATAAATAATGGCATAACAAGGACAAGACCCTTGTCACTTAATCCTGTCTCCTAGTTGGGGAAATGATGGTACAAGTGCAGCATGGGCTAAGGACTCTGATAAGAACCTAAAAAGACATGCCAAAAAAGCCAGAGCTGTCCATGGAAGCATCAAAAGTGGAAATCCTGCAAGACGTTACAAGTGGTGGCAACTGGAGTACTATTTTTACAACTTCCTATGACTCTACAATCATTTCAAAATAATTTTTTTTTTAAAAATAGAGGAAATCCCAAGCAAAACACATTTCATGGGGTGAGAGTGCCTTTCAATCACAAATAGGAATCTCAACTGTCCCCAGTTATTTATTTATTTTGAGACAGAGTCTCACTCTGTTGCCTGGGCTAGAGTGCCATGGAGTCAGCCTAGCTCACAGCAACCTCAAACTCCTGGGCTCAGGTGATCCTTCTGTCTCAGCCTCCTGAGTGGCTGGTACTACAGGCATGCGCCCATGCCTGGCTAATTTTTTCTATATATTTTTAGTTGTCCAGCCAACTTCTTTCTATATTTTTAGTAGAAATGGGGCTTTGCTCTCGCTTAGGCTCGTCTCGAATTCCTGAGCTCAAACGATCCACCCGTCTCAACCTCCCAGAGTGCTAGGATTACAGGCATGAGCCACCGCGCCCAGCCTCTCCCCAGCATTTAAAGACTAGTAGTGGCCAGGCATGGTGGCTCATGCCTGTAATTCTAGCACTCTGGGAGGACAAGGTGGGCAGATTGCTCGAGGTCAGGAGTTTGAAACCAGCCTGAGCAAGAGCGAGACCCCGTCTCTACTAAAAATAGAAAGAAATTAATTGGCCAACTAAAAATATATAGAAAAAATCAGGTGGGCATGGTGGCGCATGCCTATAGTCCCAGCTACTCAGGAGGCTGAGGCAGAAGGATCGCTTAAGCCCAGGAGTTTGAGGTTGCTGTGAGCTAGGCTGAAGCCACGGCATTCTAGCCGGGCAACAAAGCGAGACCTGAAAGGAGAAAACTCTAAGTTGGACTGAAACCTGAGGTCAGCCACTTTTAGTGCTGGCTGTTAGTGGCTATTTAGTGGAAGGCTATTTTGCTTGATTAGAAATCAGAACAATCCCTGGTGAAAGGGAAGGCTAGGAGGAAGCGCTCATGAGATCATGGAGGTTTGTGTCTGTGTGGTATACCATCAGGGAGCAATGACAAGTGCTACAAAATAACACCCAGTAGGGCAGGGCATAAAAATAGTATAATCAGAGACCGTACTGAGATTGAAGAATGTTTTCAGGAAAAAAATGTCTTTTGTACCTAAGATAAGGATTAATCAGAAGTGGATGAAATTGAGAAATGTTACAAAGGGAAAGTGGCCTGGATAGTTTTTTGACTTAACCCTAGTATTTGTTGTAAAAAGTTAGTTATGTGTGATAAAGATATTATTTTTAAATAACTTATTGTAAAATTACAAAGCACCAACAATATGTTATACTTGGTGAAGCACTAGAGTGAGTTCTTTTAAAACTGTAACATCAAAAGGCCTTGCCAGTCTCTCCTTCCAAATGATACAAGGCTGGAAAGGCTGGCAATCAATACTGAGGAAAAACAATTAGATTAATAATATATGAGAAAGGAAGAAATAAAAATGCATCTCTGTAGACAGCATGGTTATAATCCTAGGAACTCAACAATGACAACGAAATACCAGCAATAATAAATGAGAACAGCTGCGGCTACAAGGAAAAAGAATTGACTGCATCCTTGTCCATTAGGATCATTCAAGTGGAAACCCCAGCAAAGAGAAAGACAGTTTACGAAAGTTATAAAATATCTTATATTTGTTAAATAACTTAGCTCAGACTATTAAAGATTTAAGAAAAAACATAAATACCAAATAGAATGAATAAAAGAAGATATGAATAATATGAAACAAACAGCTAAATTCTGGCTGACAGTAATAAATAAAGGTAACACTTCCCAAGAAAATAGAAGGCTTTAATGTGACATTGATTTAAAACTCCTGTAGAATATTTTTTTAGAACTTGACACATTGAGATCGGAATTCATCTAGAAGAATAAGCAGGCAGGAATACCAAATATGTGAATCTTGAAATGTAATAATAGTGGGCTTATTCTATCAGATTTAAAAATATCTTACCAAGCAACAATGAGCCAAAACGTACAACATTAGAAGAAAAACAAAGAAGAAACAAACATATCAATGTAATACATTTAAGGTTTCAGAAATAAATTTAAACTACTATAAAACAAACCAGAAAGAACATAATGGGAAAAGAGCCACTATTTAATGAACTTTAGAAATCCAGGAAATCATATGGGATTCATTCCCACTCCATCTCATACACAAGTGAAAGCATTAAACATAAAACAAACAAAAATATTGGAAGATAATTATCCAAGTTATGAGAGGGACAAAATTTATACCTATTCAGAGAAGGATGAGTTGAATACACAGGCCCAAACACTTAAGAAAGCAGAAGGTAATGGTAAAAATATTAGACAGATACAATATTATCACATAAGGTCCATATGCAGAATCTATTTAACCAGTACACAAAGGGTAAAAGACCCATTTTATATATAGGAAATGTAAATAGTAAATCAAAATATGTAATAACATCCAAGCTAACTAGCAATGGAAAATTAAAACTTTAATTCTTAGATATATATTTAAGTAGCAAAAATAAGGTGGCCATGTTGATCAGGCTATCAAGATACAGAAAGAGCAGCTGTTAAATTTATTGTAAACTGGCTCTGTGTTTCAGGAAAAGTCTCAAACTATGCAGCAAAAACTGTAAGATGCTCGTTCCGTTCAATGCAGTAATTCATTTCTGAGAAAGATATTTCAAAGTCATAATCCCAAGGAATATAGTTTTCATAAAGAAGTTTATATTTTTTTCCATAATAGTGGGGAGATTGGAAAAGTCCAAGTCTCCAAGGGAGCAAGTTTCATGAGAAGTCCAATAGGGAAGAGAACCGCATGGGGAAAAAAGAACAGGACACTATATAGTATGGAGAAGGAGGGCGGTGAAGATAAGGGAAAGACAGACTGATGACTCACAAATCAAGTTTATCCTCTTTCCAGTTTCAAAGAAATAAAGGTGCTCTTTATTTAAGTGTGTTGGTTTTTTTTTGAGATAGAGTCTTACTCTGTTAGCTAGAGTGCACCCAGGCTAGAGTACAGTGGTGTCATCATAGCTCACAGCAACCTCAAACTGCTGGGCTCCAGCCATCCTCCTGTCTCAGCCTTTAGAATAACTGGGACTACAGGTGCACGCCACCATGCCCACCTAATTTTTCTATTTTTAGTAGAGATAGGGTCTTGCTCTTGCTCAGGCGGGTCTTGAACTCCTGAGCTCAAGTAATCCTCCCACCTCACATATTTAAGTATTAATGATGGGAATTTACAAGTATACTGTATCATCTTCAAGGACAATGACTATGTATTATATAAGCTCTATATTCCTAAATAAATAATAATAGACAACAAGGCAGAAAGAATCCCTATGAAGTGGCCAGATCATGAAATGATCAAATATCTGTGAAAAGCAAACATACTACCAGCTTTGTGACCTAAAGAAACATGTCAGGAAGATAATGCGGGACCAGATTCCACGAGGCTGTTCCTTCAGCCCTGGAACCCCAGGGAGAGGAGCCCTCCGAGGCTCAAGCCTCTGCCTTTGATTAGGGCTCATAGAACCAGAGCAGGTTATGTGTTGGGATTTCTTTGCGTGTCTTTAGAAAAGGAAAGACACTCCAGAGGGAAGAGATAAAACTGGTAACCAAGCCTTTCTGCACAGGATAGGAACCTAGAATGAGCCTGAGCAACAGAGTCTCAAGTCTCAGCAGCTACCTAGAGGTGAAAGAATCCCAAACTCAAAGTTACAGCTAATTCTGTGAGAATGCTTTAGACAATCATTGTTTGTCAATCAATTTTCCAAAGTCTCAGAATTTAAATAATTAGATCTCATTCGGTACAAGTTGCTTTATTGCCAATCTCCTTGATGTTGAAGGACTTTTTACATATTCTACATAAGGCAATACTGTCTGTCTGGCTGGTCTGACCAAAGTGGGTTATCAAAACTCACTAACATTAGTGTCACTAAAGTTGGTAAACAACCCTACACAACCCCGATTTGACTGGCTTATTATAATAAAAAAAAATTTTTAAAGGCAATACTGTCATATGATGCAAATTAACCAACAAATTGCCTGGCTTCCATGGAAAAGAATAGTCAACAAAGAACACCAAAATGAATTAACCAAATTCCAACAAGAAGCGAGACCTAATCTTACAACATTGCTCTCTAAAGTAAATTACAACTACAAACTAAACTACAAGACAAAGTTGGTTCAAATATAACAAAATATTTAAAACAAGAAGGATTAAGGGAAAGAAAAGTCTAATAAATGCAAATTCATATAAAGCAACATTAAGATCTTAGCCCAATTTCTGTTCTCCTCAAACCAGTAAAATTCAAGACTTCATTTCTTCCTCTCTCCTTTTAAACTTTAGGGCAAATATATTTATGATGTACTTTATAGAGACAGAGGCATTAGACCAACAAGAGATATACACAACAGACCCATCAGCCTCAGAATATTTCACATCTTAATCTTATGCCTCCTGTGAATAGCATGATTTATTAAGTCAAATAAATCTAACAATGATGAGTACTAAAGCAAAAAAGGGTTCTATACCACAAAGCTATTTCAAAATTATAAAACACACAGACATAAATATACATTCAAGAGAGGAAGATGACATGAAAGAATGTTATCTTTCTTCCCTTAGGAAACCTCTCTTCAAGCTTGTAATTTCAGCATTGGCCTTCCAGAAGCTAAAATCTTGGGTGTTTAGTAAGGTGTTTGTAATGTCAGACCATTACCAGAAACTGCAGTTCCCGTGGAGAGTATAAGAAAGACCATTTTCCTTAATCTGATTCATAAACCAAAAAGCAAATCGAAGACAAAATGAAGTTTCCCTGATACTTACATCCCTTCCTCTTTCCCTTTTACTCCTCCCATTTTGATAATTAGATATGAAGCTGGGCAGGTGAAATCCAAAATACTCAAACTCACCAATGGCCTTGTCTATGAAAATAAACCTAAAATAAACCTATTTCACATTAAGACCAAAAGCAAAACTTTTTGAAACAAGTCAGGCTTTTAAGGAACAATTTAATCAAGAATTACTGGCAGAGTAATTAATAGAGTCCCTGGGCACATATGGAAAAAAATGTACGACAAGACGGCTGGAGTTAGAGGAAAAAGAATTATAGAGTTCTCCAAACTGCCTTATAACCCTGCTAGTAGGCAATGAAAAAAAGTAAGACATGTAGCTGCCATCACCATTTGCCTCCATTAAAACCCACACCTTTAACTTTATTAAAGCAGAGAGGCATCTTCCAGATACTGCTGAGGCATTAACCCTCTGAAGAACTGCCAACAGTCTTCAATAAGTAGAGCAACATAACGGGTGCTTTGCTACACTTTAAGCCCTAACTTTCCAAACTGTTCAGTGCCCATTAAAATGGAGTATACGTAGCAATGATAAATCGCTTTAAGAAATAATATGGAATGCCATTTATAGGCCAGAACTTTGGACCAGTTTATGGTGAAACGACCCAGGAGAAAACGAGAAGCTGAATTCTGATTGAACAATTTTAAAAATAAAATCCCGAATATGTAGCAGCACACAAAAAATCAAATGTCAGGAGTCACTGTTAATTGAAGTCCTGAGGTGGGTTACCCAGGGACCGTCAAATGTGGACTAACCGTGGCCTATTTCCGTCTGGGCGTAGGTGCCAATTATCTGGAGTCCTTTGGATGAAAGCAGCCATTTCTCTTGCTGAGCAGTGGTGCCCTGATTCAGCAAGGTGGGAATAAACATGGAGTAATTGAGGCCCACAGGTTCCACAAAATTGACCAAATGTAGTCTACAGGAGAGAAAAGAAAAGGATCTCAGCCTTATTCTGGAAACTGTATTCTATCAACCATCCTTAACAAGCAGCTTTGGCTCTCAAGATAAAGATTAGGAAAATTTAAACCCGTTTCTTATGAAATTAAATGTAAAAATTTATTATTTTGATACCTAGAAAGCCAAAAGCAGAAACTGGTGGTATCTCCTCTTCCTTCAATCATTACAGAGTGAGCCAGAATGCCTTCTGAAAGTCTACACTTAATTCAGGAAGCAAATTCTACAAGGTTTAGCCTAAAGACCTCTTTTGTTTTTGATTTTGTTGGTATTTATCTGCTGGTTTAATTGGCTGGATTTTTTTTGAGTGTGTGTTTTGTTGTTGTTTTTGCTTTATTTTAGTTTGGAACTCCACAGAACACTTATTTGTAGAGTTGTTAACAAAAGCTCCTAAAGAAGAATAATTTAAACTATCTTTCCCTAGATAATCTAAGCAAACATTCAGAAAGTAAATACATATCCAGGGCAGAATCATAGGTCTCTAAGGATCTTGAGAATTTACAGATGGGTAAATAGGTAACACAAGTGTATTAAAAATTTATCCCTGATGGTCAATGAACATTACTCCAGATTATGGGAATTCTATATCACATTGAAATTAATTCAGTCCTCAGCTACCTTTTCATGAAATAGAATCCATGAAATGGTCAAAATGCAAATTACGCACACTAGTCAGCCTGAGCTATGCTGTGTCATAGGTTTTACTGGGTCAGTTGTACAAAATATATCTCATCTAATGAATCTTCATGGCTTCTCACAGAATGACTAGGAAGCAGTGTCACCATCAGGTTATCTAGGCCTCTACAACGAATTAATTAAAGAATTAAAGAAAAGAAGGGGTGGGCTGCCATTCGGATTCTGGGCCGGGGTGGGGGGGTTGGCTTGAAACCATCCTACAACCTTAAAAGAAACAACAGTAAACACAACATACCCTCTTCGTTTTCCTGTTTCCTAAATAAACACTACATAAATTATCCCATTTTCCTTTCTAATACAAATCATAATCCACTTGGAAACAAAAAACTCTCAGTGAATGCTTTCAGATATGACTATTTCTAATTAACCAAAATTAATTAATCATGACAGTTTCTACCAGAGGGAATGACATCTGTGCCCTATGTTCTGTGTAAAAATCAACAGAAGCTGCTCTCATTAGTATCAGTAAAAAATGTTTTCTCAGTGCCAATAGTCGTCAGGCACAAGCTCAGGGTAGGAAACCACTTTTCAGGGATGCCAAGGACAGACTTGTCCAAACATCCAAGAGATGACTGACTAACCAACACATAAAATGCCCTGAGATTCTAGGATTTGAGGGAATTAAGATAAAGGAGTAGGCCGGGCGCGGTGGCTCACGCCTGTAATCCTAGCTCTTGGGAGGCCGAGGCGGGCAGATTGCTCAAGGTCAGGAGTTCAAAACCAGCATGAGCAAGAGCGAGACCCCGTCTCTACTATAAATAGAAAGAAATTAATTGGCCAACTGATATATATAGAAAAAATTAGCCGGGCATGGTGGCGCATGCCTGTAGTCCCAGCTACTCGGGAGGCTGAGGCAGAAGGATCGCTCGAGCCCAGGAGATTGAGGTTGCTGTGAGCTAGGCTGACGCCACGGTACTCACTCTAGCCTGGACAACAAAGCGAGACTCTGTCTCAAAAAAAAAAAAAAAAGATAAAGGAGTAGTATGAACAGAGCAGCTGAGTCAGTTTCCAAGGAATTTAGGTAAGCAGCAGCTTATTCCTGTAGTATACAAGTCACACATGTCGCAAAATGCACATCTCACTGAAGTGGGCACCAACAGCCCACTTCAGTGGGCTGATGAGATAAAGAAGTAAATGTAGAAACCACTCTCAAAAGCAAGAGTAACGCAGCATTCCCTACAATCACGTCTTACCTAAAACCAAGAAGTATTTAGACATTTTCTATTTCCTTTTGTTAAGTATATAAAGAGGAAATAAACATACAATTTCTGAGAAATAAAAGCAGTAATGTAGGTACTAAAAATGATAGAAATATAACACACTCACATTCTCATAAGGGAACTGAGAAGGCTGAGTAATTTCATAAAATACTCTAAGGCTTATAAAATGATATTAAAACATGAATAATTCTAGGAAACTGAGAGTGAAAATGTGACATAAAATAAAGACTACCAAACATTTCTATTTCTACTTATTTATTTATTTTTTTGAGACAGAGTCTCACTTTGTTACCCAGGCAGGAGTGAGTGCTGTGGCATCAGCCTAGCTCACAGCAACCTCAATCTCCTGGGCTCAAGCAATCCTCCTGCCTGCCTCAGCCTCCTGAGTAGTTGGGACTACAGGCATGTGCCACCATGCCCGGCTAATTTTTTGTATATATATATATATTTTAGTTGGTCAATTAATTTCTTTCTATTTTTAGTAGAGATGGGGTCTCGCTCAGGCTGGTTTCAAACTCCAAATCCATCCGCGTTGGCCTCCCAGAGTGCTAGGATTATAGGCATGAGCCACCATGCCTGGCCTTATTTTATTTTTTTTAAGAGTCTCACTCTGTAGCCCCAGGTAGAGTGCAGTGGTCTCATCATAGCTCACTGCAATCTCAAACTCCTGGGCTCAAGCAATCCTCATGCCTTAGCCTCTCTTGTAGCTGGGACTACAAATGCACGCCATTTTTAGTAGAGACTGGGGTCTTGCTCTTGCTCAGGGTGATACTGAATTTCTGAGCTCAAGCGATTCTCCTGCCTCGGCCTCCCAGAGTGCTAGGATTACAGGCCTGAGCTACCGTGCCCAGCCTAAATACTTATATTTTTAATAAAAATACTGAAGTGTTTTTTTCAGGTCAATGAAAATCAACTCAAGAACAAAATCTGAGTGCTTATTTTTAAGTTTGGCTTAATCCCTTTTAAAGATTCTTTTCAAGGAACCCAGCTTTAAAAACCTAAGGAGGATAACAAAAACTATGACTGATCCTCATTAGAATTTCAAATTACTTTTTTTTTTTTGAGACAGAGTCTCACTTTGTTGTCCAGGCTAGAGTGAGTGCCGTGGCGTCAGCCTAGCTCACAGCAACCTCAATCTCCTGGGCTTGAGTGATCCTTCTGCCTCAGCCTCCCGAGTAGCTGGGACTACAGGCATGCGCCACCATGCCCGGCTAATTTTTTGTATATATATATATATATCAGTTGGCCAATTAATTTCTTTCTATTTATAGTAGAGACGGGATCTCGCTCTTGCTCAGGCTGGATTTGAACTCCTGACCTTGAGCAATCCACCCGCCTCGGCCTCCCAAGAGCTAGGATTACAGGCGTGAGCCACAGCGCCCGGCCTCAAATTACTTTTAAGAACATTTTACAGTTTTCTTATTGTTAGCATAGTATAGTTATGACAAAATTACAGGAAAGATCGGGAAAACAACTTTAATGTTCCTCAAATAGCATGGTCTCATTTTCTCATGGACTGGAGAACAATTCTTTTACTATTTAAATTGAGAAATTTCAAAGTATTTTACTAATATTCAATCAACTTCAAAATATTCTCATAAGTTTTATTTTGTGATAGGAGAAATGGAAGAGAACAGTTAATGCCCCAAATCCTCAGAAATATTACTGTGTTTCATCAATTCTAGCATTCTCTTCCATTTTACCATTTAAGAAATCCAGTGCGGCCAGGCATGGTGGCTAAGGCCTGTAATCCTAACACTTTGGGAGGTCGAGGCCAGAGGATCGCTCAAGATAGCAGTTCGAAACCAGCCTTAGTAAGAGCAAGACCCCATCTATACTAAAAATAGAAAGAAATTAATTGGCCAATTAAAAACATATAGAAAGAATTAGCCAGGCATGGTGGTGTATGCCTGTAGTCCTAGCTACTCAGGAGGCTGAGATAGGATTGCTTGAGCCCAGGAGTTTCAGGTTGCTGTGAGCTTGGCTGATGCCAAGGCACTCTAGCCTGGGCAACACAGTGAGACTCTGTCTCAAAAAAAAAAAAAAGAAAAAAAAGAAATCCAGTACATCTCACAATTAATGGTATGTCACAGTTAACTGGCAGCATTATCTCTTTCTTAGTGGTACACAAAACATTGGTGTGAGTTATAATCGATGAGATTGGATAATGAAGGCTTTGACTCAATGGCATACAGTAATTGCCAAGATTAATTTACACTACCCTTCTCTAACTTGATTGCCTTGTATATCCTAGGCACATTGGAAGGGTGTCAAAGGGTGTGTTAAAGTTTGTACTTTAATACTTCACAGGAAAAATGACACAGAAACAACTGGCTGGTGTCCATGGATCTTTAACCACATAAAGGACTTTGTTCTATTTCACTGTGACTTCATAAATTAGGAACAGGTCTCAGATTATGAAATCTTCTACATCAGTTCTGAAATGCATTGTACCACCCACGTAAAACCAAACCACACAAACACAAAAACCCTTTTCTTTCTTGTCATTTTAAGAAAGTATGGAATCTTAACTAATTTTTAAAAGTTTACAAATCCAACTCAGGCCATTTAGTAACATAATATTCTAGGAGTTATTCTACCCTCAGTATTTCCACAGCAATGAGTTACAAACTTTAAAAGCCAAAAAGAGCATTTGGAAGTTGGTGAGTACTCTGATTTGACCTACAAAAAATAAATATTTTTATAACTAAAATTCAATGGAGGCTGGGCGAGGTGGCTCACACCTGTAATCCTAGCACTCTGGGAGGCCAAGGCGGGCGGATTGCTCGAGGTCAAGAGTTCGAAACCAGCATGAGCAAGAGCGAGACCCTGTCTCTACTATAAATAGAAAGAAATTAATTGGCCAACTAATATATATAGAAAAAATTAGCCGGGTATGGTGGCACATGCCTGTAGTCCCAGCTACTCTGGAGGCTGAGACAGTAGGATTGCTTGAGCCCAGGAGTTTGAGGTTGCTGTGAGCTAGGCTGACGGCCACAGCACTCACTCTAGCCTAGGCAACAAAGTGAGACTCTGTCTCAAAAAAAAAAAAAATTGAATGGCGTTTTCTGGAATATTAAGGACCAGAGTAAACCATTTCATCTTCACAATAACCAAAACAAATTGAAAAGAGATACTAAATGCACTAAAGCCAGTGACCATTAATACTAGAAAGGCAGAACATGTTCCATTTATCTTGGTTCTTGACTATACATCATTCATATGATTTAATACTTATTGGAATTCCTCTAAAATGTGGAAACCTAAAAGAAGAAATGCTGAGGAATAAATAAGTATAAGAGATGCTATAGGCCAAAATAATATTTTAATAAGTTTACATAATAACAGTGTGTTTATTTAGATGAAGGCAAAAAAGTCCCTATTTTTCTAATTGAAAAAAAAAAACAACGAAAATGAATGGTCTGAAAAAAAAAGACATACTCAACACTAGGACCAAGCAAGTTTTTATGAGGGCTCTCTCATAAAAATAGCCACTTAAAAATTGTCACCAATTCAAAAATACAGGGTTCTTATAATACTTTATATTGACTCTGAGGCCTGAATGAATGTTCTTTATCCATTCCCTTATGTCCCATTATTTTAAACTTGAGATCTATCCTATCATATGATATAATCCGCTAGTCCTCAAATATATTTAAATGTTTGGTCTTGCAATAGAAAAAAAATCCTTCCAAATTCAGAAATTTAGCAGGTCTCCTTATATATAAAGGGCAAAGTCATTTTGTATGTAAATCACTCAAAACTGAAATGCACAGGACAGAAAACAAATGTTTTATAACATTCTTGAGACTGAATTCTTGAGAACGGAAAACTCCAGCACCGTCATTCACTATCATCATTCTACAAATATGTTATCCCATTAAAAGGCTTGGATACAAAAATAACCACATTATTTTCCATACATATAACCTTAAAGTGTCATGAAAATACACTAGTTTTAAGTCTTCAAACGCCAAGCACGAAGACAAAAGGCCATCACAGCCTGCAGCTTCAAAGTTTGGGCTTACAGCAGTTGTTCGGTGCTGAGGCATACCTACTTTTTAAACCACATGATTTCATCAGGGTCTGCGATGCCAAACTCCCTCATCTTCTTCACCATGTTGGCACTCTTCCGAACTGCCACCTCGTAACGCTGGCTGCGAGAGAGGAAGTTCAAGTCCTCATGCTGGAAGTCTGGGTCGTTCAGAATCAGGTTCTCTGGAAGGGAGTTAAAGGACATCAAGAGGAAGACAGACATTCACGTCTCCGTTACACCCTCCCTGAATCACAGCGAGCTTCAGACCTCGCAAAGGGCGATATCCTCCCCTCCCAACCCACAGGCTGCCCGGCTCGTTTAATTCTGAGCAAGAGCCAGCGGCCCAAGCCCCACAGCGCCCCCCGACTCACTGACAGAGTCTCAAGCATGAAGGGGGAAGGAGGCCTCGCCGGTCGCCCTCACCGATTTCCCGGCGGCGCCGGGTGTTCTCGGGGCTGCCATCCAGGATGTGTGTAAGCAGCTCCGGATTGAAGCTGGCGGAGTCCCGCTCCCTGCGCAAGTCTGGGTTCATGGTGACCGCCAGCGGCAGCAAAGGAGACAGCGACGGCAGCAGCAAAGACAACCAGCGTCCGCACCTCCACCGCCCGCCCGACCCTAAGAACAGCCCTAAGAGGAGCGAGTCCCCGCCCCCGCCCCCGCCCGCCCCAGCCCGCCCGGGTCCGCCCCAGCCCGCCTCTTCCTCGCAGCTGCCGCTCGGCACGTGACCGACCGCGGCTCGGGCAGAGAAGGAAAAGGTGGCCGCGCCTTGACCGCTGCCGGCCACGGGGCCTAAGAATCCTCTGCTCCCGGACACTAGAGGCCCCCGAGCGGCCCCTCCGGAAAGGAAACTTGTAAAGGGTTAAGAAATTGCCCTGCGGGAAGCGGGGAGGAGTGAAGCTATTTTGCTATCCCGCCCCTCCCCCGTCACGTGATCACTCGGGCGGAAAGAGGGAACCTGAAGCTCAGGCAACGCTCAGAACAGGTTGGCTGGGGGCTTGGGAAGGGGCGGGACAACGAGGCTGAGGAGGGGCTGCGCCTGCGCCTTGGGACTCGCCCTCCTCAACACTTCCGGGTCGGTGCGCAAAGGCTTCCGCGGAAATGAGGGGGGGAGGGGACTCAAGGGCCCGGGAGCGGGTTGAGAGGGCTGTGAGCCATACCGACTTTCTAGAGGAGGTCGTTAGGATTTTCCCAAACTCTTCCAGACTGGGGGAAAAAAGGGACTGGGACCAAGGTCGCATTGGGGAGTGGCTCCAGTTACCTTTTGTTAAGGTAATGGCGTCCGCTGCTAGAGGCGTGGGTTGCTGGGGCCTGGGTGTGGGATTGCTGGCGCTTCCTTGTGTTTGTAGGGAGGACGTAGACTTTGAACGAGACCGAGCTGGCAGTGTTTCTCTGAGATTTCTCTGTCATCTGTCATAGAAACCAGACTTTTTTTGTTTCCCCTGATCCTGGCAGTTCTTAGAAGTCTTGGAGGCCAGACTTTTTTTGTTTTCTCTATAATTATCATCTCCATTAAAGTGGGAAGTGCATACGTTATTTTAAAACCTAATGTGGGAGGATTTCTAATGAAAAGCAAGAATTCCCCATCCTCGGAAGCAGTCAGTTTTCACCAGTTCTGTATTCAGATATAATTCCTGAGAAATAGCTAAATAAAATACTTAATTTGCTATTTCTTGATTTGTTCGTTTAGTTACCATTTGACTTCATGCCATGATTGTTAGGATACAGCACACTGCAACATCTCTTTCTTTACTAAACTCTGCCTAATTTGCCTTTGTAACTTCAAACATGCTTAATCACCTGCTCGTTTTTCTAGTAACACTACTGGGTATAAGGTAAGATGACCATTCACCTTGGACACAATTTAAGGACGCGCAAAAAAAAAAAAAAAACCTCAAGATTAACATTAATGCGGCACCTTTCTTTTTTTCTTTAAAGAGACGGATCTTGCTCCCCCAAGCTGGAATGCAGTGGCATGGTCATCGCTCCAACTCTTGGGGTCAAGCAATCCTCTGGCCGTAGTCTTCCCATAGGTGGAAATACAGGCATGTGCTACCATGCCTGCCTAATTTTTAAAATTTTTTGTAGAGACGGAGGCTTGGTCTTGACCTACTGGCCTCAAGTGATCCTCCTCCCTAGTCCTCCCAAAGTGCTGGGATTATAGGTGTGAGCCAGTTACCCTGGCTGATGCAACATTTTTAAAAATTAAAATTAATGCAGAAAAATCCATGACAAACAAAATACCAATATTTTAGATGAAGACAAGATCATCATTGCTGATTTTTCCTTTTGTCTCAGGTTCCAATATACTGATAGTGTTTTTTTAATGCCCCCCCCAGGCATTTAGATTGGTTACTGTTGATTTCATTCGTCTTGTCAACAAAAGCTGGCACTCCAAATATAACCAACATAAGTTGTTCTTAAGACAAAACTGAGTTTATTCTTTAAAGGAGAACACTGCTTGGCAAAGTTTTGGCACTATCTCAGAGAGGGGAAGGTAAGATCAGAATTTGTTGAGAATTGGAAATTTGGTTTAAGGCAGGTCTTTCAGTTGAAGGTCTTGAGTAAGATTAGGTAAGAACCATAGTCCAAAATTGGTGCAAATGTCAAGGTAAGGGAATTCAGAGACTCCCAGTGGACAAACTGTTAATGTTCAAACCGTTTGCCTAGGCTAGTCAGTTTAGGAAGAGTAAGTACTGACAATGAGAATCTATTCACCCATGTGAGAAATATTTAATATTAATAATGTCCCATGGCTGGGCGTGGTGGCTCACACCTGTAATCCTAGCACTCTGGGAGGCCAAGGCGGGAGCATCACTCGAGTTCAGGAGTTCGAAACCAGCCTGAGCAAGAGTGAGACCCAGTCTTTACTAAAAATAGAAACAAATTAATTGGCCAACTAAAAATATATAGAAAAAATTAGCCAGGCATGGTGGCACATGCCTGTAGTCCCAACTACTCAGGAGGCTGAGGCAGAAGGATTGCTTGAGCCCAGGAGTTTGAGGTTGCTGTGAGCTAGGCTGACGCTATGACACTCACTCTAGCCTGGGCAACAAAGTGAGACTCTGTCTCAAAATAAATAAGTGAATAAACAGAGTTATATTATTTACATTTTTAAACATTTTGTTGTGGAAAATTTGAAACATAAAGGGAATAATGTAATGAACCCCATATATACTCTCACCCAGATTCAACAATCATCAACCATACCTCCACCCACTCCCCCACATTAATTTTAAGCAAATCCTATGTCATATCATCTGTAAATACTTTCAGTATATATCTTTAAAGAGTTTTTAACAAAATCTCAATACTGTTATGACACTTGGTAATATTAACAAAAATTTTTTAACTTCATCACAGATTCAATCAATAATCAAGTTTCCAGTCAGGCACAGTGGCTCGTGCCTGTAATCCTAGCACTCTGGGAGGTTGAGGCAGGAGGATGTCTTGAGACCAGGAGTTCAAGATCAGGCTGAGTAAGAGTGAGACCCAGTCTCTACAAAAAATAGAACAAAATTTGCCAGGCGTGATGGCATATGCCTATGGTCTCAGCTACTCGGGAGGCTGAGACAGGAGGATCGCTTGAGCCCAGGAGTTTGAGGTTGCTGTGAGCTAGGCTGACGCCACGGCCACTCTAGCCCCAGCAACAGAGTGAGACTCTGTCTCAAAAAAAAAAAAAAAATAAAGAAAGAAAGATTCATATCCAACAGCTGCAGCTGCAACATGTGTGTGGACCTTTTTGGACCCAGATTTAGACAAACCAATTTTTTGAGACAGAGTCTCACTGTGTTGCCCGGGCTACAGTGCTGTGGCATCAGCCTAGCTCACAGCAACCTCAAACTCCTGGGCTCAAGCGATCCTACTTGCCTTAGCCTCCCAAGTAGCTGGGAGTAGCTATTTTTAGTAGAGACTGGGTCTGGCTGTTGCTCAGGCTGGTTTCGAACTCCTGACCTTGGCCTCCAAGGCCCGCCTTGGCCTCCCAGAGTGCTAGGATTACAGGCGTGAGCCACTGCACCCAGCCTTCCAACTGCCACTTTCTATGAAACAATCTGGGAAACTTGACTTTTTTTTTTTTTTGAAACAGTCTCTTGTCTGTCACCTGGGTAGAGTGCAGTGGCCTCATCATAGCTCACTGTAACCTCAAACCCCTGGGCTCAATCCTGATTCAGCCTCCCAAGTACCTGGAACTATAGGCATGTGCCACCATGCCCAGCTAATTTTTTCTATATATTTTTGGTTGTCCAGCTAATTTCTTTCTATATATTTTTAGTTGTCCAGCTAATTTCTTTCTATTTTTAGTAGAGACAGGGTCTCCCTCTTGTTCAGGCTGCTTTCGAACTCCTGACCTTGAGTGATCCTCCTGCCTCGGCCTCCCAGAGTGCTAGGATTACAGGCATGAACCACTGCGCCGGCCTGAATCTTAAGCCTCTTTTATTGTATAGGTTTCCCTGTACATCTTTTTTTTTTTTTCTTAAGACTATGTCATTTTTCCTGTGGAATTTTCCGCAATTTGGATTTTATTATTTCCATGATGTCATTGAGATGTTTCTTTGTATTTTCTGTGACCTGTTATTTAGATTTAGAGGCTTTATTGGATTCAGACTTATGGTTTATGCTAAAACTACTCCCTATGGCATGGCATATTTTCCATTTTAAAGCATCACTCTGATTGTTAGAAAGAGAATGGATGTTAGACAAGAGTAGAAACAAAAAGACTTGATAAAGGCTTGGGCTGGGGTGGTGATCAGGGAGTGAAGTCAATAGACTCACTACCTAGTTTGAAGTTGTGGGGCCAGAAAGGGAGTGGTCCTTTTACCCTTATCATAAAGGGTCATGACCAACAGACACCCCTATAGCAAAAGACAAATTAACGAAAGTATAACAAATTTATCATGTACTTGTGAACAAGAGTCATACAACATACGAAAACTGAGCTGGGCACAGTGGCTCACACCTGTTATCCCAGCACTTTTGGAGGTCAAGGTGGGAGGATTGTTTAAGTCCAGGAGTTTGAGACGAGCTAGGGCAACATATCGAGACCCCATCTCTACAAAAAAAAAAAGAAAATTAGCCAGGCGTGGTGGCACCTGCCTGTAGTCCTAGCTACTAGGGAGGCTGAGGCGGGAGGACTAGTTGAGCCCAGGAGTTGGAGGCTGCAGCAAGCTGTTACTATGCCACCACACTCCAGCCTGGACAAAGAGTGAGACTGTCTCTCTTAAAAAAAAGAATACTCAAAGGGCCGGATGGTTGACACTTAAATACCTTCTTTGTTGGGGAGAGGGAACTCGGGGAGAGGGAATTCGGGGGAATGTAGGCAATTCTTTGAGGGGTAAATGAGTATTAGGGAGAATGAATAGACTCTGAGAGACAGAGTCATTTGCAAATGATTCTTTTTGTAGGTTGAGCCTCCAATAGACATTATTCTTGCATTCCTCAGTGGTTTTTTTTTTTTTCCTCATATATATAGATAGATAATTTTTTTTTCTTGAGACAGGGTTTGCTCTTTGCCCAGGCTGCTGTCGAACTTCTGGGTTTAAGTGATCCTCCTGCTTCAGCCTCCTGAGTAGCTGGGACCACAGGTAAGTGCCAACATGCCTCGCTCAGGCTTGCCTTCTGAAATAGATAATGAGATTTTTTTGGGCAGGATGGAAGGCAATTGTATTCCTCTTTGGGGGTCTGGTTTCTAGGTAGATGAGGAAACTTCAGAAAACAGCACAAGAGGAAGCTTTGGGAGAGCCAGATTGGGAGGGAGTGTCAAGAAGACCTTCAGGCTACTTTAGTTCAACATGTCAAAGAGAGACATATTTTGGGGTGTGGGTTTTGAGCCCCAGCAAGGTAGAACTGACAGAAATTTGTGATGGATTGGATGAGCCATGAGAGAAAGGGAAGCATCAGGAAGGACTTTTAAGATTTGAGCAGATGTAAGACTCTGGTGCTGCTGGGCCTTAGAAAACAGGACCCCAGAATGAAGGCCTCAGAAGCAGCCTCAGAGCGAAACTTTTGAAACTTTTTCTCTGACCTTCTCCTGCCCTCCTGCCTCTCCTCCATTCCCCTCTGAGGCAAGCCATAGAAACTAGAATCCCTCTTCCCCAAGGCAGGTGATAGAAACCAGAACCCCTTTTCCCTAAAGCCAGCCATAAAACCTAAAAGTGTTCTGTGTAAAAATTGGCCATAAAAGAAATTATCTGACCTACTTTGTTTGACTGTAGGGCATAAGACCCCCGTTCCAGAAAGGATCCTGCCCCACACCCAGAAAGAAGGAATGCCTG